CCCTAAATCCTAAATCCCTTAACTCAAAGCTCCAAGGCCGCTGCACGCACCGTGGCATTCGCCTCCTTCGCGATTCCGATCAACGTCCGCTCCTCGGATCTTGGTTTAGGGTTTAGGGTTTAGGGTTTAGGGCTCACTCCGGCTGTACTGGGTTGCTCTTAAGGAACTTAAACTAAGCTACCATATTGGGTATATCTATTTACAGGGATGTCCAAACACTCAGGTCCCTCCATTATACCCCAACTTAAACAATCCCACAAATCCCTAGCCCTTTGCCCCCCAAGAATGCCATAATCTTGACTACAAGGCCCCTTGAAAAAAGAAGCCCTGAATCTCCCCAAACAAAGCAGGCCTGGAACCAGAACATCTTCAGTAGCAAATGGGGGTGGTCCCTTTCTCGGGCATCCTGCGATGTGTAATGTAGCTTTTGTGGGCATAAGGGGGTTCCTCTTTACTTTGCAAAGCTCACATGGATGAATTTCAGCACAAAAGGACTACTGCCTGCAAAGGAATGATGCTAAACCCTAAACCCTAAACCCCAACGGTTTCCATGCCGAGGACAGGACGCCGAAGCAGTTGCCAGCTGGCACTTCGTTCACGGTGCCAAGACCCGCGATCTGGCAACACAATTCACACGACCACAGCACGGAGCCTTCCCGTTCAAGAGTTGCAGTTCACCAACTTAACTTAAGTCACCATAATATGGGTATATAGCAAATAATTGGGTTCCTTGTTGAATAGTAACATGATTTTGGTTCCTCAGCAGCAATCCAGGATGTGTTACAGGCTAACTGCAGACATGTTTGCTGCTCCCGTCCTGGATGCTCACGCGGCCATGCTCCAGCACGAAGAGGGTCCCCGCCTGGCGATCCAGTGCTTCTCCCCATTTCCTACTCATGCTTAACTAGTTGGGAATGGGCGGAATGAACCCTACCACATTCTATATAGAGGCTATATAGGGATAATGGAAAACAAAATGGAAACTACCATAATGGAGTTATAGAGGGTTTTGGGACCCATTCCCCCATTCCCAACTAAGCATGAATGAGATTTGTCGGCTGACAGACTCTGAACCCTAAACCCCTAAACCCTAAACCCTAAACCCCTAAACCCGAAACCCCTAAATCCTAAACCCTAAATCCTAAAGTGGGCCGTCTGCGCGGGCTCTGGGTGCCATGCCGTACCACCCTGTTGCACCACTGTCTCCCCAGCGAAGAGCAGGCGCCTCTCCTGATTTGAAACCAACTGTCTGGCGCGTTTAGGGTTTAGGGTTTAGGGTTTAGGGTTTAGACGGTATTTAGGGTTTAGGGTTTTAGGGATAGGGGATATTGGGAATATATTGGGATAAAATGGAAAAGAAAATGGAAACTACTATTCAGGGTTTGGGGGTTATTGGTATAACATCCAATATTAAGATGTAAAGGGTTTCAGGGCTTAGGGTTTAGGGTCTAGGGTTTTAGGGTTTAGGGTAGTAAAGGGTTGTACTGTATTACAATATTTTGGGGGAAGCTCGTAATCATTCACTGCTCCAAGACAAGCCCCTAACTGAGACCAGCACCCCACTGCTGGCCACATCGTTGACGAATCCCAAGTCGCAGCCAAAGAACAAGTTGAGCCTTGCTTAGGGCTTAGGGTTTAGGGTTAGAGGTACATGAGTAATATCAAAAAAATGTGGGTGGTTGTCAAAATTATGGTCCCTTTTTGGGTACCCTAAATATTAGGTGCCGTATTATAATAGGGACCCAAAAGGGACCAGAATTTCGACAACCACCCATATCAAAGGAGGGTGATTGAGAATGGCACCACAGTACTCACAGTGCCCCTCTCCCGGATGGTCCCCACCTAAACCCTAAACCCTAAATGAGCCATATTCCAAACTCCCAGTATCCCCATAATAACCCCAGTAGTACTCCCCTATATAATCCCCTATATAACCCCTTCAAATAAGGGCTTAGACCCCAAACCCAAAATCCTACACAACCTTAAATAACCTTCTATAACCCTTTAATCCCCTATATAGCTTCAACGAGATTCTGAGCCTTCACGCGGCACACTCCCTAAACCCTAAACCCTTACAGAATCAAGTTCTGAGGCCGAGACGAGCTGGCAACTTCTGTTTTTGTCAGGAGACGCTCCTGGGGCAAAACGGCCGGAGATGACACGGTTTAGGGTTTAGGG